GGAGCCTGATGCAGGACTCAATCCCAGGACGCTGGGATCATGACCTGAGCTAAAGGCAGACACTTAACCAACTGATCCACCCAGGCGCCCCTAGTTCATTTCTTTTAATGGCTGAGTAGTATAGATTTACTATAATTTGTTCATCCATTCACCTGTTGATGGGTATTTGAGTTGTTTCCAGTGTTTTGATATGGTGAATAGAGCTGCTACAAGTATTCTTGTACAAGTCTTGGTATGGGTGTATAAAATGTTTTCATTTCTCTTGGGTAAATACTTATATTTTTTGAGGTGTCCACTCAGCTGTACTATAGTCTCCAGTTATTTTACACGATTCAATAGTAATCTAAGTGTTGCTATGAAGGCATTTTTGTAGATATGACTAAAGTCCTTAATCAGTTGACTTTAAGAAAGGGAGATTATCTTGGAGAATCTGCTTTGGCCTGATTGAATTAGTGGAAAGTCCTTAAAAACAGAGTTGAGTTTCTCCTGAAGAAGAAATACTGCCTTGGGACAGCAGTTTCAGCCCTTGTCTGAGAGTTCCAGTCTGCCCTTCCTGACAGCCTGCCCTATGAATTTCAAATTTGCTTAACCAGACCTTTTCCCCAACCCTAATTGCATAAATCAATTTCTCCAAAAAAAATCCCTTATTTCTTATCTTCTACTCATTCTGCTTCTCTGAACCCTGACTGATACAGATTTTGGTCCTGTAGGTGGTTCTAGAGGAACAGAATCTTTTTTTTTTAAGATTTTATTTATTTATATGACAGAAAGAGACACAGGGAGACAGGGAACATAAGGAGGGGGAGTGGGAGAGGGAGAAGCTGGCTTCTCCCAGAGCAGGGAGCCCGATGCAGGGCTTGATCCCAGGACCCTGGGATCACGACCTGAGCTGAAGGCAGATACTTAACGACTGAGCCACCCAGGCGCCCAAGAGGAACAAAATCTTAAGAATGAGTTTTCTGGGGCGCCTGGGTGGCTCAGATGGTTAAGCGTCTGCCTTCAGCTCAGGTCATGATCCCAGGGTCCTGGGATCGAGTCCCGCATCGGGCTCCCTGCTCCTTGGGAGCCTGCTTCTCCCTCTGCCTCTCTCTCTCTCTGTCTCTCATGAATAAATAAATAAAATCTTTAAAAAAAAAAATTAAAAAAAAAAAGAATGAGTTTTCTGAATTGGTTCTGGGTTTTCTTGAATTGGTTCTCTAACCTGGTTTAAATCTAAAGGCACTAATGACTATTTTCAGTGGTAAAGAGGGTACTGGTAGTAGTCCATAGCATGATGAGGTACTGGATACTCCTAATCAAATACCTATAGAAAGGGAGGTCCTGAGTGACCATGTATTCTCTACCTTAGGATATTTTAGTCATATTAAGGAATATAATGAGATTGACTGGTTGTTCTTAACTGCACTGAAGAAGATGGGGAAAGAAAGGGATGAGCTCAGGCCTTCAATCCCCAGCCCAACCTATGCATAGATGACTTGAAAGTTTCTATATCTGCCTTGAAATAAACCCTTAGAGCCAAGAGTTCTGAAAACCAAACTCAGAGCCTCATTCTGCAAGTGGCTAATAGAGATGCTGCTTAGAGTCTGTGGCAGACCCCCTGAATCACAGTGCAGAACCTTAGGATTTTGAGACGAACCATGAGAGACGATGGACTCTGAAAAACAAACTGAGGGTTCTAGAGGGGAGGGGGGTGGGGGGATGGGTTAGCCTGGTGATG